TATTTTCCATATTTAGCATTCTACACTAACTTTATTCAATGGGACAGCTTCAAAAAACTTTTTCCTAATTTCGAAAATAAAACATTCGTATGCACATATTTTTCCGACGTAGTTCATCTACTTCTCGCAGGATATCCAAACCGTGGTGGTTATATGTGGTATATATAAATGAGCTACGCTGTTCCTGTAGAGAACAAAATTTTTTATTCGACAAAATCATCCTTACATGCGTAACGTCTACGTCGCGCTGCGGGGTCAACGCTAATCGGGAACGTACTCCAAAGCCGCGGCTGTAACAGTCTTCGACACAGGGTGCGACATACGTAGCGGGATACGGGGCGCACGCGTTCAAGATCAATTTTGCACCGCTCGGTTTTCGAAACAAACTGCGTAAAATTTTTTCCGGCAACCTACAGTCGAGTAGAGGCGTTCTGCAAAGAAGACATACACAGGTGAGATCACGCGCCGAGACGTCGCGCGCGACTTCCTCCATCAGACCGACCCACTTCTCTCTCTCCACTACTGGTGAAAATCCTCGTCTCCTCGTATAATAAACCTAGGTCTATAAACACATTAGTAACTAATATATTTCTAACTGTAATATAATTCTTATTTCATCGTATATAATGCCCTAGAGACTTACAATCAGTCATGGCTGTCGTCTTTGTGGACGAGCGAGGTCACTATTATCTCGGCACCGACAATAATGACCGTCTCGCCCACATGATCCAGGTTATAGCAAGTGTAAAGAAAAAAAAAATACCTCGTACTTAATTATCACTTACAAGTAACAATGAAACAAGTAATGATGTTAATACAATGGTACAACGGTTAATACAGTGTCGATTGTAACATATTGTTGATAATCATCGGTGCGCTAATTAGAGAAGCGTAACGTTAGAGGACATGATGCAATATCCGTAATCCAAAGCGGTGCAAAACTTCTCCTGCGTGCGGTTATAAAGCCTCGACGGATGCCCGGCCAATATGGCTCTTGGGCGGGCATGATCGCCGCGACTTGAAAGGGCTGGGGGGGAGAGAAAGAGAGAGCAAAAAAGGGCTTTAGGATTAGATTAGCCGACGATTTTTTTTAAAACTTGTTTCGCAAGCTTGCTAGTTTTCTCGCCTCGGAGGTGAAGTCATTTAAATCGTTTAATCGAATTAACAAGGCCCGAGCTGCTACCTATGGCTGCGGTGGCAACTCGGATGCGATGTGTATAAAATATATATTATATATTTATACTTTTATATATGTATATACATACACATGTGAGTTTTATAGGTACGTATACATCTCTGTATCTAAACAACGATCGTTAAATAAACTATATATATTGTGTGTGACGCGACGCGCCCCTGCGTGCGGGGGATGAAGGGAGGTAGAACGGGAAGAAGAGTTGGGAGGAACGCAGGTCGTGGCGGTCGCCTCACGACCGCAAGATTCTAACGACTCTCTATCACGACGATTTCGAAATGCTTAATTCCTATTTCCGGCCGCCTTTCGCCGGCCGGTTCGCGGAGCTACAATGCGAGACACGTAATTAATATATCTACAAGTGTGATATACCGGCATCTCCCCTGCCAGTCGTGGCATAGCGGGGGTGCGTGACGCAGGTATCCTTGGACCATCCGTAAGATACGCAAATTTTTGCTATTATCTCGCGCCTGTTTGTAATTCATTGCCGCATAAAAGTTTTTTTTTCAAGAAGCAAGTTGACACGCTTAAATCGTGAAGATTGATGCGCAATTGACTTGACAATGAAAAAAGTGACAATGAAAACTTCGAAGAAAGTTTAGTAAAGTAGTAAACTAAAAAAAATAATAAACTAAATGGTTTGTTAAAATTAATTTGTTAAACTAAATTAGTTTATTATAATAGTAAACTAAAAAAAGATCGACGGTAAACCTATGATTAACTCTTTGGAGGAACATTGATACTATCATCATATCTCCACATGAAAAATATCTAAGAAGGCCATTTATCCGCATAAATGGCGTTACGATATACGAAGCATCTATGAAACCATCTATGCGTGGATAAATGGCCTTCTTAGATATTTTTCACGCGGAAGTGTCAGTATCAATGTCTCGCCCCCCTACACCGCATAAACACACATTTAAAAATCTTTTTTAATTATTCAAATCATTTAAATTAATTCAGATATTGAAACAACTTGCTAAAAGAATGGTCTCTCAGAGTCATCCGCAAATATTCATCTTTCACGTTTACGTATCTGATTGTAAGAACATCGGATATCCGTCGGATACCTACGTAATATCGATCAATTCTACTGGCCTGACTAATACTAGATAAATGACGAACGGTCCTATCGCAATGAAGGCATTGCATCGTTGAACGAAGGGGAGATCACGCGGCCGCGAGATATTATGAGAATTAGGAAACGATTTATCGTCCCCGTTACCGCGCGATAAGTGTGGAAGTAGATATAGACAAATAGAGTTACCGAGCATGCCGGCACACGTCAGGATTTGAATACTCGTTAAGTGTTTTATGATCTCTATGGAAAGTGTTATGATCTCTATGAAACTACTGGAGATTGCGCTGACTGATTCTCGCGTCGCCGACGCTCCTCTGCGATGCTCGCACGACGCGTTTATTCGTGAATCGACCCGTATTCGCGACACATATTTGACCCTTTGCAATTCTCACGAGTTGAATTCATTCTAATGTTGCGGTAACCGTATTATATAATTCTTCAAGTATTACTTTATAAATTCCTCTAAATAACAAGAACTTTGTGATTTATGTTAGATCAGCCGATTAGATTAAATTGAGAATAAGATTTTTGATCTTCGCTCATTTGCGAAATGGTTTGGATCGTAAAGGGTTAATTCTTTGCAGTTTCTATAAACAAAAGCTCTCATTAGAAAAAAAAAACACTTAGCACGATAATCTTCTACGTATCTTAAATAATTGAAGTAGCAAGTAACCGTAGTAAACTAGCAACTACATTCGGAGGATACACGTTTTTAAAATTTGTATTAAATACTTTAAACGGAAATAAAATATTATATAAATATATTGACAATTGAATCGGAATTGATTGGGATGTAAACGAAATATTTGACACTAGATCATCAAAATTATTTTGAATTGCAAAGCATCGATGATTAAGCGCATATAAAGTAATTACAGTTGTTTAATTTTCAAAGTTAATCCGACTTCAGATAATATCCATGTAATATTCGACGCGAATAAACAGGTCGTGCGGAGCCGATTTAAACAAATAATATAAAATAACAGACTATCAAGATAGATAGACTCATAGTTCAATTTTCATAAAATCTCCATTAAAAAAATCATTCTCGGATCTTTAATGGATAAAGAGGTAATCTAAATGACTAGAAGAGATTACATGAGTGAACTCAATGACCGTGTACTGTATCTATATAAAAAAACGCATCGTTTCATGCTACGATGATGTTTGACACAGGACTGAGCGGGATATCGATGAAGCGTATTCACACCGGCAATAAGACCTAGTAAATTGCTTAACATTTTACCGGCGATTATAATTTGCGTATAGTCCACACAGCATTTATTGTCCAGGCTTACGGAGGCCTGGAGGCTTGGTCAAACGGAAATATAATTCGTCTAATCCACCGTCTAAAATACCGACGCCGATTAATCGCGATTAACTCACAATTCCCTCCCACTTTCTATTTTATAGACAACAACGTGGCCCAGCAAGGGAATCGTCAATCACAATCGATTAATCGGAATCGCGTAATCTTCTCCTATAAGATATCTTAACATTATAATATCTGTTCTATAACATCTTTATGCGAAGTGAACATTTTATGTGATTACATAATTCACATCGGTCTGTAATAAACAATATCATTAAACAACAAAGTTCGTTTCAAACGCGATACCGCGAAACAATTCGGGGAATCTCTTACATTGCATAGAAGGGAAATTTATTGAAGGGAACTTTCTCGGTTAGTTGCCTCAAAGCGGGTCTATTAACTGCCACGCTCCAGGAAAATACCGAGTTGATTTATTACAAAGGTTGGAAACACTACACTAAATTAGACCTTTGCGCGTAAATTATTCTCTTAGGTTTAAAGCTGTCATCCAAAGTAGGTAGGATTGTATAGCTCTTGTTTGTGACAATAGCTCGCTTGTGACAAACATTGTCCGTTAGAAGAAGCGTGAACATCAATTGCTTATTCGCCAAGACGATCTCACCAACCTCATGCGATTCGTCGTGCTTCGTGACGCGCGTTATTATATTTACAGGATGGAGATTATCGCTGGGGGGGGGGGGGGGG